CTTCTATTCATTGGCGTTTGATCAGGAATGACACTCTGTCCGTGGTGTTAGTGTTCTATAAAACATGAGTAAAACATCTTCATAAAAGTACTATCGACATTAAAATTCCGAAGAAGGGACGTACGCTGATGGGCTTTCTTACAGACAGCATCAGCTTGTGTTTCAAAGGTCATTTTGTCATCAGTGACGATACCTAAATATCTGCACTGCTGTACCACCTCAAGAACCTGATCGCTGATTATTGTGGAAAAAATGTTCACTTTCTCCTAAAATCAATTATTTCTCTGGCTTTGGACACATTAAAATCCGAAAATGACAACTTACACCAGTTGATATACTCTGCTGCTGTGTGGCCATGACCAGTGTCCTCACCTTTCAATAGAAACAGGTCTGAAATCATTAATCACTTTTGATGCCTTGGTTTTTGGCACAGGTACAATGACAGAAAGTTTCCAAATGAGGATCTTTTGAAAGTCCCAGTGATATTGTAAAACCAAAACTAAAAATATCTGCCAGCTGTTCAGGGCAGTTCTTTAGCATACGACCTCCAATACCATTAGGGCCTGGCCTTTTGTCACACGTTTCAAATTATACTGGAAGCAGTTGTACAATAAGTACAGTTTAGGGATTTTTTTCCATAATTAAGTTCAGAAAAGTTTGCATTGTGTAAGGACAGATGTTAACATTTGTTAAGTTTGGGATTAGCTTCTCCCTTTTAATGAGAGGTTCTTGATAGTCCTCGAGTGTGCTGAATTACATACACACACACAGACACAAAGTTGATCACTGAAAGAAACACAATGCACCCACAATTCTGCCTGAATGTGGGCCTGGACTTAATGATTGGAGTTCATCCACAAAACATCAAACAGTTGGAAGCTGACAGTCTTTGTTGGCCACACAAAAGAACGTGGAAGAGAAACAGGCCACAAAATTTTCATCTTGCATGTAGTTTTGGCTTTTGATTTCTATTTAAGTTCCTCTCCCATTCAATCTTTTAAATTTCCCTATCTTATCTGAGACCAAAAACACTTTTTTACCACTATCAAAAAAAAAAACAACTGAGATTTACTGGAGTAGAGGTAATGTACTTTTTAAAATGTTTTGGTAAATAAGAAAACATATTTGACTGAGGTTCTTTGACTGTTTTATCTGTGAGTCATGGCAAAGACTCACAGCTGGAGCTAAATGTATTCCATTCTTTCTGCCATGGTTTGCACACCCTGGCAAATTAAAATTTTGGCATGATCAATATTTCGAAATGATAAAAGCTGGAGACAAAAACACCAGATGCCATGTTGTCTCACTAACTGTCCTAAATATCAGAGAGGACAATGATATGCTCATCTTTAAATAAGCTATGATTTTGTTATTATTACCACATAGTCACAACCATTTATATTGGTCCTGAACACCAGCAAGACAAAAGAGATGGTGATTGACCTCTGGCGGAAATCACCAGCACTCATGCCGGTGAGCTTTCAGGGCTCAGATATTGAGATTGTGGTCACCTTTAAATACCTGGATGTCCACCTCAACAATAAACTGGATTGGACCAACAACACTGATGCCCTGTACTGAAAGGGACAGAGCCGCCTCCACTTGTTGTGGAGACTGAGGTCCTTTGGTGTGTGTGGGGCACTCCTTCAGACTTTTTATGATGCATCTGTGGTGGCATCTGCAGTTTTTTACGATGTTGTGGGCTGGGCAGGAGGTAGCACGAACAGGGACAGAAAGAGACTTAACAAGCTGGTTAAGAGAGCAGGTTCTGCCCTGGGCTGCCCTCTGGATTCCACCGAGGAGGTGGCGGACAGAAAGATGCTGGCAAAACTAACATCCATCATGCATAACCCCTTCCATTCCCTGCACCACACAGTGGTGGCTCTGAACAGTTCTTTCAGCACAAGACTGCTACATCCCCAGTGCAAGAAGGAGCGTTACCGTAGGTCATTCCTCCCCACAGCAATCAGACTGTACAATACATCACTGCAGGGATAAGCTAGGTGAAATTATGAGGGACTATGCAATAGTCAACTGAGGTGCAATACTCAGATCCTGGGGGTAAAATGCATTGTAAATATGCACATGTGTAAAATCTTGTCCTTGATTTCTCTTGAATACTTTATATTGTCTTGTTTTAGGTATTTTTGAGTAGTTTTTCAGAGATCCTCATGGCTGAAATACAGGTATTTCCCCCATTGCAGGATTAATTATGGGAGTAATATTCTTGTCCTTGATTTCTTGATCTCTTGAATACTATATCTTGCCTTGTTCTTAGGTATTTAGATTTGTTCTCAGGGTTTCATTGTGGGAGGATCATTCTTGTTCTTGATTGTCTCCCAAATACTAAATTCTGTTTGGTTTTAGGTACTTTGGAATCTGTTTCTCAAGATATGTGTGTGGTGTTTGTTCTTATCATGTTTTGTTGCTGCTCTCTATTGCTGCTGGAACATGGGAATTTCCCTATTGTGGGATCAATAAAGTCCTTCCTACCTACCTACCCACCTACCTACCGACCATTAATACACCTTTTATATTTTGAACTAAAGATATCTGCCTGATCCTGCAGTAAAGTGGCATGCACTCTGGCTGAACTTGTAAGTTGTGGATGGAGTTTAAAAGGCTTTAAACTACTGGCTGGTGTTTTGCTCAGTAAATTACACAAATGTCTTTGGTTGGCTTAATCCTGCAACTGCCAGAGAGCAATCTAAAAAGGGATTTCAGCTAATATTTTTATTTGGGATATGGTCCAATTATAACATGCTTCGACTTCAATTCATTCACTACAGTAAACCTGTCAGGTTTTGCTGTTATTGCATTTATTTTACAGATTCTGTGGTGCACCTTCCAACACAACTAAAAACAGACCACTGGTTTCTTCCAACACTGTACTTACAGCTTGTTAAACATAGAATAAATAAACTTCAATTAACATATAGAGCCAAAAATTTCAGTTTGAAATGACAGAGAAAGACCAAAAGAGACAAATGACTGTAGCTACAACAAAGAGGTAGCTGGGAAGTGAAGGTGGAACTAAGGACATTTATACAACTTGGTGTGTAAATCTGTCACCCAGCTCCCTCTACAAAACACAGACAAAATGTACTTATACTAGGGTCTTTCATAAATCGACAGTATATTTTCCAGTGATACTGGAGCAGATGGAGATAGGAGCTTTTCCTCTGGCTCTGTGTAGTAAGATGCTCAACAGCCACATCAGTTTTCATCATCACGGACCAGTACGGTACAGTAAAGTCCAACAAGTACAAAGTCCTGCTCATCTTTTAAGGGAATATGAATATGGGTATTTTTAACTAGTTACATTTTTTTTCTCAAAACTGTTACAAATAGTGTTCAACCACTTGATTAAAAGATGCAGTGTACAGTTCAACATATAGTGTTTGACTTTACTTGTATAAGACCTGTGCATCTTATGTTACTGGTCAACACCAGTGGATCCCAGTCAACACAATGCATTTTGATACAACATAATGAATATTTCATTATTGCGCTAATCCAGACATTGGCTAACAACAGGCAAGACAAAGTAACAAATTATCCTAAATAAGCATTCCTAAACATATGGAAAAAATGTGTCTACACTTTAATAAAAGCAATAATGTTGTCTCTGGTGCTCTGCTGATCAAGATGAAAGCAAAATCAATAAAATTCACAGTGAAACATCTCATTTTATTATATAAGCTAACATCATTACTGGGATGAAACATCATCATAAATGTCTGACTGTATGAGGTTAGACTGAGGGGATATTTCTAAATTTGTGTGTGGATATGTACATAAAGGAAAAAACTACTGAGATGACTGAAATCAATTAGAAAAGATTGTGGTGCTGTACTGTATAGTAAATAAAGCTGTTTTTAAGTGAATGGTGCTGATAACACAATGATATTTACAGTATCTTCAGGGCAAAGATAGTCACATTATCTTCCCTTTGGTATCCAAATCAATGTAAAAAAGTGATTACCAACCTTTGGCCTTTAGTCTTCCTATGTGCCTTTGTTGTTTTGTTTTCATGGCCAACCTCTTTTCCTCTTCTAGATAAGCACATGATCTGATAGGAGTACGACAATGAATCTTTGTTTCTTTTCTTAATTTGGATTTTGCTCATGAAATAATATTGTCTTTGTAATTACCTATGCATTAATAATATATGTTTTATTTCCTCTTTTGCTCAACCGACAATATCTTTCAGCAGCTTGGCATAACTGTAATACTCTGTTTGCACTATGTTTCTGGATACATTATTTTTCCGATACACTGTGTGGCCTATCATCCCCCCAATGCAGTGGCCAGGCTGTAGGCTGGGGACCACATAATGAGTTTTTCCATTATAGGAACCTACCGGAATGTGTCGAGCTGAGTAACGCTTGACATGGGTTCTGTGTTTGTTTCCACTGCCCTCCACCTGCTTTGGAACTGCTTTCCAGGAGCTCAATTTCAGCACCCTCAGGAGGTAGCACTAAAATCAAGTTCCAGGAATGCAGGGGAGGGGGCGCATGCCTGCAAAGCAGTGGCTTGTGATTGGTTAAATGGCCAGAGCTTCACACCTGAAGCATTAGCAATATAAGCACAGTGTGTAAACACACTCACTGGATTTCAGGTAAAATTAGGGCTTCAGTTAGAGGATCATGGGTAAAGCAGCACAGAGATCACATTTCTGCAAGTCTTTGTTCTGCTTGTTAAACAGCTGTTTGGTAAATTGCTCATATGGTTTCTGTTACTGGCCAATTGTTGCACTATGGAGTGATCCTTCATGTCCTCTGTTCTCCCTCTGCTCAGCTGAGTGTGAGAGGAGCACAGCCCCTCTCTCCTCAAAACAGAGCCCAACAGCACAAAATACAGTGCACAAACAAAGCAGGATGATCCGTGTCAACCTGGGAGGCTATGTGGGGCAAAGTACAGGGTATACTGCTCGTTAGGTTCCGATAGTGGAAATGCCGCCATACAGGTCTGCA